TTTGCTAGCCGGAGTTAAACCACTGTCAAAAAATATTTGTATAATCCCTACAGAAATATAAACACTGATAACAAGCTAAATACCCCTGGTCAACGACAAGTTAATGCGGTAGCACTGCGGGAGGAGCTGATTGTGTGTATTTTCAGCTAACAGAAGGACATTTCTAGTCCTGAACGGTCTCACAGAACTTACATTTGGTTGCCCTGCACAGGCGACTCTTCAGGGAAGGGTATCTGGTTAGCTGATCCACGCTTTCGAGGAGTGCTTGTATTAACGTTTTGGCTGTCAGTTGTCATCCTCTGACTACCATCTGAATGTGGTGCCATGAAGCTACTTGCTGGATTGGTAGATGCATTCCCTTTGCTCCCATTACATTGCTGGCTAAGTGTCTGTACATCATTTCCAAGACTGTCCATACCTATATTTAATTCTCCCAGCTTCTGGATAGATCTAACAACAAATTAAATAAGTAATAGGTTAATAACCATCATAATAAACAGATAAACAAATAAATCTCATAATAAACAGGTTATTATGAGAACTTGAGGAGGGATAGGTGCAGGTGGAGGGAGAAGCAACAGCCCCCCCATGTACCTGTTAAGAAACTGTTCAGTAAGATTCTGTTGCTGGTCAGCTCCATCTTCTTGATTTACACCTCCTTCCAACAACATTTGCTGGTACAACTGTCGTTGTTGCTCCTTCTGTTCTAAGTGCTGCTGGTAACGTAGTCTTTGTCTGTAGTATTCCTGAAACTGCTCTGTTGAATCACGAAGCTAAAAAGAATTGAGAAATAACCATTTAATTTTCAGCAGTAATTATTATATTTAACCTAAATATTCACTTTCTGGATTGTTATTTCAATACAGGCATCAAGAGGACAGCAGATTCTCCTCTGCTCAGCAATGATTTTGTTCTTCCCTAAAACCAGATAAATTAACATATTAAAAAAGGAAATTATTGCCGGCCTGTGCTATTCACTCTCAAAGCAGCTGTGCCATAATTCAAGAGACTCCTCTTTCCTACAAAGCTTCCAAAGCATTACTTAGGATCAAAACAAACAGGTGATTGGAAACTGAAAGCAAAAATGCAAAAACATTAGGCACATTCCAAATTCCAAGTCATATTTTCACTAAAATTTAGGATTTTCTGACACCTCCCAGCCATCAGTCTGCACAGCCAGTTCACCTCTCCCAGCAACCAACCCTGAAGTGGTCTACCCAAGTGTTACATCTTACTTTTGAAACTGGTGCCGTGTTCTAACTTCAAAATTCCTTACTTTCTGGATGCAACACAAACACTTGAGCTTCCTTCTCACAGTCTCTTCCCTTTTACATATGATCTTTAGCTTCCCACACTGCCAGCTTCCCAGGACTCACTGCCTTCTGCATTCCCCAATTCTCCTCACTTTCTCTGTGCCACTCTAGTTCCAAATGCTACCATCATAAAATAGTTAAGAACAAGTTAAAAACGAACAAACAAATATACCCTGCAGAAAACCAAAAACCACTTTAGTCCAAGGCCAGATCAACACTGAAGTGCCATGCATTTTCTAAAGGAAAAAAAATCCTCAACTGCATATTTAGTAGGAAAAAAAAGTAAATAAAAAAAACACACCTGTTTTTTTTTTTTTTTCCTGTTTGTTTTCAAAAGTGACATCTTTGTCACCTAGTGATTCTAAGTTGTATAAGGACATCCTGATAACTCTGCATTAGCTCAGACAATTCATGCAGAGGATCTTTTTTCCTAACTATGAGCCTTTGTGTTGCTTCTGAACAAAAGTAGTTCCATCATGATTTTGTGCTTGCTGACCCAATAATTTTTTAGTTTATAATGGATTTCCTAGTGCTGCTGCATTTGTAGATGTTTATCACCTTAGGTCTCCCGAGATCAATACTTGTGATTCAGAAACTCCAAACTTATCTTGAGAAGTCTGGAAACATTCATTCTCTGTATTTCAAATATGTGGACTATCCCCCAGTCACTGGGTTACAATCCTTCCAAGCAACAGGCCTATTCTTGTCTATACTTCTTTCCATGACTGACATGTTTGTTGCAAATGGATTCAATCTTTTGATCCTTTGGATTCTGTGTCATTATTACCCAAACCTAAAATATGCTGCCCGGACGCTCCATCCTATAAACCCTTACTTCTAACTCAATTCTTTTAGGAACAACGCAAAAATAAAGCTATGAAAAGAAACCTAAATTGATTTCTCACTTATGCAGGCATACACATACACCATTACCATGTGGAAAACAGAAGGTGAAATTGAACTGGGTACTTCGTTATTTCCTACTTGTATATAATAGTCTGGCCAACATCTTCACCTATAGCACAGCATCTCCTGTCTTCATTCTCTCCTATAAATTGTGTCCAGTTTTTTGCCTTTCGAAGCCTGCTCTATTACACACCTAGCTAAGCTCTTTCCTCCCGCCCCTTATGCCAATGTGCACACACAACACTGTTGCAGCAGAGATGGCACTCAAAGTCCTGGAGGGGAGTGAAGTCCTCAAGTTTGGAGGACTTTGTTAATCCTCCAATTGGCCCTGTTGCCTCACTCCAGTATCCGGTGTCTACAAGACTATAGCCCTGTCAAGACCAGACTGGTTTTCAGCTCCATATCTGTGTAATAAGCCAAGACAAAGTTTACTTTGAAAACCAAACAGGAGTGTGCAAACAAAACAGACCACATAGTCAATGTTATTTGTCATTACTGAATTAAGAGACAGATTTTTAAAACTGTGGAAAAAGAACAGAACAGGTAACTGTTCTCATTGTTTCCTACTGAACTATTATTTCCCCATATCCCTGTTAGGGAGGAAAAAAACCCCAAACCCACAAAAGGATAGTCAAGGCACAAGCCTGCAAAGATTAATCCAAAACCAGATCATGCTATTGGATTCTAATAGCAGAGATATATTTACTAGGAATTTATACAGTTGTAATTTCTCTGTGTTCTAGACAGAAAATAATGTAAGATGACCTACGAAACTTTGTGTTAACACTAGAAAAGGTAAGCCATATGCCAGATTCTTTGCTAAAACACTAAGAGGTCTTAAGCATTGTTTAATCTAACATAGCTGGCTTTGACTACTGCAAAGTTGGGGTTTTTTTTTCGGTTTAGCAACACTGCTGACGTGAAAAGGCACACTAATCAGCTGCATTACCAACTCAGATGACAGCAGAACTTCATACAATGAGGAAAAAAAAAGAGTAGTTTCTTATAGAAGCCATAATACGGTACTTTCACTGTAGTAAAATAACCAAGATTCAAAGCATCCCATTGTCATGCATGAATTTCTCATCACAAAGGCAAATCATTATGAAGTGATCAGAACACAGCTCAAAGAGCCTCATTATTTTTACACAAATAACCACTACCTCATTCTTCTCTTGTTTGGCTGATCCCTGACTCTGTGCTCCGTTAAGTGGTTCATTTTCTGGAACTGTACTGTGGCCCAAAGTCTCACTGCTGATGGGATGCTGTGGCTCCACAGGAGTATCACTTCTTGCAGCAACATGGAAAAGAAGAGAAACTTACTTGAGAAAAATCAAGAGGAAAAAAATCCCTTGGTAAGTAGAAGATAACATTCTAGAGTAAAATCTGGTAACACAAGTGTGCACATAAAGTTGAAGATATTGCTTAGGAAAAAAAATGCCACTTGCAATGGGTTACAGTAAACAAAACAACCCCCCTAACAAACAAAAAGCAAAGACAGTCAGTGTGCTTTGTCCCCACATTTTCCAAAAAGCTTTACCACCACAGGGTATCCAAACTCCGTATTTTCTATCCCTACACTTGAATTATATACCCTTTAACTAACAAGTTATTCAAGATCTCCTGTTTTCAAAGCACTCATGAGCACGGAACGTATCAGATGTACTGTGTGACTAATGTCTTCTGTAAGAGGATAGTTTAATTACCACTATCCGTCCAGATTTAAACTACGCTTAACATTCCTTGAACAGCTTGAACATTCCTGAAAGTGCTACACAGGAAAATGTTTAGATCGGTTTTGCTATTCTTGTATTATGTAAGCAGTCCTGCATGGAACTCTTTCCAAACTCCTTTAGCAATCAGTAAGCACGCAGAATATACGGAAAGCCTGGGATTTGCATCTTCGGTTTTGGCAGCTTACAAAAACCCTCTTTGCTCAGTGACTTGGAGCAAAGCTCTTGAAGTTATTTTGAACTTTTTGGATATAATGACAGAAGTAATTTACCTGACTAAAAGACAAATAATTGCTTGCTGAATACAACTTATAAAAGAAATACCGTATTTCTGTGATGTGTAAGACAAAGCAAGACCCAGTTTTACATAAAGCTTAGCTTCCATGCTTGCAAATATTGCCAGTTCAGTTGGACACAAGATTAAGTTGGATTTTTTCCTGGAACATATCATGCCTTCTCAAAAACTATGGGTCTGGCCCTTAACCTAATTCTAACTTTCAAGAGTTGTAAAGAAAAAACATGTTAAGATCTATCAACATCACATGCAAATGTCAACACAAAGATACAACTGCAGCAATTTACCACTTTATTTAGCCCACAAGATAAATCTATTTGTGCAGAACTGTTCCAGTACACTAAAATCAAAAAGGGAAACAAAAAACTTGAGAATCAGTTTCATTACTGGTCCCTGAGCTGCACGCACAAATGTTAATGCTTGTGCATACAGCTAAGTAAAATTAAATGACTCACAACTCATTAGTAATGCTTCTGTAAGTCTTAAGCTATCCACAAAATCTCCAGTTGTGAAAAGGCTGTTGTTAAAACCAAAGATTTAAAGTGGACTTGCACAAAGCATTTGACACTGGCCCGCACGACATCCTTGTCCCAAAATTGGATAGATATGGATTTGATGGGTGGACCACCCAGTGCTAAGAAACTGGCTTGATGGTCGCACTCAGAGAGCTGTGGTATACGCGTGGAGACCAGTGACGAGCGGCGTTCCTCAGGAGTCAAGATTGGGACTGGTGCTGTTTAACACCTGTCAGCAACACGGACAGTGGCACTGAGTGCACCCTCAGCAAGTTTGCTGACGACATCAAGCTGTGTGGTGCGGTTGACATGCTGGGATGCCATCCAGAGGGACCTGGACAGGCTGGAGAGGTGGCCCTGTGCCAACCTCATGGAGTTCAACAAGGCCAAGTGCAAGGTCCTGCACCTGGGTTGGGGCAATCCCAAGCACAAGTACAGGCTGGGTGGAGAATGGATTGAGAGCAGCCCTGAGGAGGACTTGGGGGTACGGGTGGATGAAAACGCTGGACACGAGGTCTCTCGTGAGACCCCACCTGCAGTTCTGCATGCAGCTGTGGGGCCCCCAACATAAGAAGGATATTGACCAGATGGAGTGAGTCCAGAGGAGGCCATGAAGATGCTCAGAGGGCTGGAGCACCTCTGCTCTGGGGACAGGCTGGGAGAACTGGGATTGTTCAGCCTGGAGAAGAGAGGGCTCCGGGGAGACCTTATAGCAGCTTCCCAGTGCCTGAAGGGGCTGAGAAGAAAGCTGCGGGGCATGGATGACTCTTACAAGGGCCTATAGTGACAGGACAAGGGGTAACGAGTTTAAAATGAAAAAGGGAAGATTCAGATTAGATATCAGGAGGAAGTTCTTCCCGGAGAGGGTGGGGAGGCACTGGGACGGGTTGCCCAGAGAAGCTGTGGATGCCCCATCCCTGGAAGTGTTCAAGGCCAGGCTGGATGAGGCTTGGAGCAACCTGGTCTAGTGGAAGGTGTCCCTGCCCATGGCAGGGGGGGTGGGATTAGATGGTCTTTAAGGTCTCTTCCAACCCAAACCGTTCTAGAAGTCTACTCCACAGTCTCCATTTATTTATCTGGAATGAAACAATTCAGTAATACTGAACATATATCTTAGCCAGACTGTAATACATAATCAGAGCATATTAGGGCTCTGTGCTAAGATTTCAACTTTAAGAAAGTCCACATCAAGTCCGTAAGGCTCAAGACCAAATATGAAAATTAACTTCGATCATAAAAGTGTAAGGAAGAAAACCCCTTGTATACAGAGTTTTAACTACAACAGAATGTAAACAATCAAATTATGTCGCAATATTACTATTATGTTTAAAGTTACAGTGCAGGTGTGAACCCTGTAAGATAACATGCAACCTAAACCAGGGTGAACATAAAGATACAGTTGTGCTTACCGCTCAGGTGACTCTTCAAAAATGCTGTGACACTCCGTGTTCTCAAGCATGAGACTTCGGCTGAGATTCTGTACTCCAGGGTAATGGAAATTAGCAAAGGAGTGTGACATTGGAGAAGTTTTGGTCCCAAGGTCTGTGACTCGCTTATCGTGATTCGTTAACCCACAGGACAGCCCATCTAAGGCAGGGTTTAAGGAGCGGGTCATGTAAGCATCTGCTGACTGAGGGCGTCTCATTGGGGATGACGGATAAGGAGAAAGTTTGCTGATAAGAGGTGTCAAAAGATCAGCATATGCAGCTTTTGTAGGCTTGAGGAGCTTATCAACGTGAATATTAAGCATTTTTTGTTCAAAAGCACAAGAAAAAACAGTAGCTGGTAGATTCTGCAGCCATGATAATAAGCTAAGGTCCAAGTCATCACACCCATTACCACACAAGAGATCAATGCCCAGCAACACTTCACTTTCTGTGATTTCTTCTCCTGTTGCCTTACTCTGGCAGAATTCCACACAGCATTCATAAAGCAATCCCTTCATCACCAGCTGAAATAAACGATTGTTACTTGCTTTGAAGCCAGCCTCACTCAGTTTCCTATCAGCGGGAATAAACTCTGCCACCATGACACAGGCTTCTTCAAAGCAGTGAACCCGTGCCGTGCTGGGATTCCAGTCTTTGAATTCCGCGTGGTTGGTCAAGCGAGGCAGCGTCAGTAGCAAGCAGAGTTTACTGTAGTCTTCCTTAGAGGGACAATATTCTTCCAGCGCATGTAGGCACTGTACAGCCTCCCGCATTGTAAACTCCAGCTACAGAAATATTAACATTGAGTAGTTTTTAGTACACACATTTCTACAATAAAAACAGTTGAAGAAGAACAGGCAGTAGCAGAATTTCCCTGCTATCATTCCTTTATTGGAATTTAGATTTAATTAAAACAGTATACAATATAGAGTCTGAAATTGCTGATGCAAATGTAGTTACAACAGTGCAAAATTCCTGGATGCTTTGTCATCCTGAAATCCCATTTTCTACAGATCTCTGGAACTTTGTCATGTCACTGCAGGTTAGATAGGCTTAAAATGTAAAATCCGTAGCTGAACAGCTTCAATTCTATCGTAGCTCAGAAGGTTACTTGTATGCTAAAGCCAACTGGTTTGGGTTTTTTTTTGGGGTTTTTTTTTTGTGGGTTTTTTTTTTTTATGTCTGTGAAAAGATAATGGTTTAAGTTATAAAAGGCCTATATACTTCTTACAAGGGCACTCTTACAGGGGACTTACAAGGGCCTGTAGTGACAGGACAAGGGGTAACAGGTTTAAATTGAAAGCATGGAGTTTTAGATTGGATATCAGGAAGAAATTCTTCCCAGAGAGGGTGGTGAAGCACTGGCACAGGTTGCCCGGAGAAGCTGTGGATGCCCCATCCCTGGAAGTGTTCAAGGCCAGGCTGGATGAAGCTTTGAGCAACCTGGTCTAGTGGAAGGTATCCCTGCCCATGGCAGGGGGGTTGGAACTAGATGCTCTTCAAGGTCCCTTCTAACCCAAACCATACTGCAATTCTACGATTCTCCAGTTTCCAGTGATTAGCAACTTCTAAGCTGGCTGTTACATTGGTATTTTCTATTCTTCAATCAAAAATGTTGAAGCAGTTCAAAATGTTCTCAGAAGAGAAAACCTCCAAATAAACAGAGGGCTGTAGTATAAAGCTTGTTGACAGCTAAAAGCCAAGAGCCATGTTAAATACACATAACTTGGTATATTTTGTTGCAAAGATTTAAAACAAATCCCACTTACTCATGTCACCTAGCATCTGCTCAATACAGCAGCCTTTCATCTACACCATGCCAACACATCTGGTAACATTCAAACCAAACAATAAAGGACATCAATCTTTTTTTTTTTTCCCCTCTACTGCTCTCTAGTAACAGTACACAGACTGGTTAGAGGAATAGTACACCTTCCCCTAATAACTATAAATACTTACTTTTAGCTTTCTCTACACTGTCAAGAGAAGACCCTGCAGTACAGTGTACGTGTAATAGGACAAAGAATTAAATTCCGTTTTGAAAATTAAATCAACGGTCTTAAAACTACTGGCATTTTTCATTTTCAATTTCACAACATTTTTGTGTTAGAAATTCGGTATTCCTGTGTTAACAACATAAATGAACAACTGTAATGCATTTCACAGTCTGCACACCTTTTATGTCAGTTTGAGTTAATGGCTCTTTCCATACTGAAAATTAAAGTTCACAACTCATGCTGTTTGCACATTTAACTGAATCCATCCTTTGTGTGCACATGTATTCCCCCCAAAGAAAAAACTCTGTCCTTTCTCTCCAACACCAACAGAAATTAAGATTGATTCAAAGCTGAATCTTTCACCTGGTCCTGACTATGACAACAGATACCTGTGATTCTGAGGCTTGCCTCAGAGCATTTCTTTCTTTCTTTTTTTTCTTGGGGGGTGGGAGGGTGGGAAGGGGAGGAACTTTCTAGACTTCTGAAGATAACTTTGGAGCCTCCAAATTCCCAAAACAGAGACAGTACTTACATGCTGAGGCTCATCTTCTGCTGACATCGCATTGTTTACACATAAGGCTTCCAAGAACTTCTGCTTCATTATAATATAACGAAATCTGCAGTGAGAAGTTAAATACCATACATTTTGATTCAGTAGCTAAACATTCTTTTAGAGACAAACAGGATATTTTACAGCTAATTTCTGAGTTTGGCATAGAAATTACAATGAGAAGTAACTCTGATCTCAAATTTTAACAAATGGGTAACAACAAAAAATTATTTTTTAAACAGCAAATGTCTTTTTCAATTGTTGCTTTCAGAAATACTATATTAAAAATATTAGAAGGTTAATAAAAAAGAGTATATCAATCAATTTCTTAAGAAGAAATATGACTGAGCAGCCAACTATAAAAACATAATACAACATGCACCATATTCCTAAAGCGTACGGCAAATGAAAACTCATTAGATTGTGTGCACATATTTTTCATAGTTTAAGTTAAAAACCATAATGTACACACTTCAAGAAATGTATACAGGTTAGAAAAAAACCCAAAAACTAAGGTGAAAAAATTTAGAACTACTGCTTTTGTATACAATGCTTATTTTCCACAACTCAAAAAAATTGAACTCTGACATACATTCTATTTTACCTTTTCTTGTCGAATTTTTCCATACATTCAAGAGGCTGAATAAATTGAAGAACCTCATCCCATTGGCCATCAAGAATCAATTGCCTAGTAAAAGAAAGAGTCACTCCTCTAATTTCACCTTCTTCTAAGCAAGCAGCTCCTTTAAATACACGTCATTTAAATATGCAACAGGTGATCAACCTGCTTTGAAAAGTTAATGCTTTGCACAGATGCCAAGATGTCTGCTACAACTAGGAATAAGTGCAAAATCCTAGTCCTAACTCAGTATTTTGTAGAAATAGCTGCATACAAGAACAACAAATATTAATTCCTTTTAAAGACGCATCAAAAATGACAAAATGGTCCTCTGTCTCCTGCTTTACCTGTAATTCTTCGTTTTAAAAAATTCTTACTTATGCATAAGTGTCTTGATTCAATGAATACATCCTGAAGAATGACAACAAACTTAAAAATTAGTTAATTGTGAATGTATAAATATCACTAGGTCTTTTTTTTCTTGGGGTGTGGGGTGTGGGTGGTGGTAGTGCGGAGCCAGGAAGAGATTGAACACAGCTCCGATATTAAGAACAAAAAGGAACAGCTTGGCAGGAATGATGCCAACACAACAGCTCCAACTCCAAGACTAGGGCAACACTGCTTATGTGGATTAGTTCAACTTCTCCATGTTCTCACATCACACAGATTTCTCTATAAAAGGCCCAGATCGACAAGAAAAAGGCCAGTATCCCCATTAGATGTATACTCTAACTAAGCTAAGAATGCGACAAACAAATAGGATTATCCACTTTAATCTTTCTCTAATTCTTCTTTCATTTTATTCCAAGATCCTATTGTAACTCACATGTTCTCCTCAACTTACCCCACACTGACACAGGCATGTGTTAAGACTCCTTCCCACCTTAATTCATTTCCATGCCAGAAAAATAACCAAGTTAAAATGAATGAAGAAGCAAACAAGCAAAATCATCCAACTCTAAACCAACGTCGATGACAGATAGTCAGCTACTTCAAGTGGCGCAAAAGGAGGAGGTCATTAACTTCAGAGCTAGAACGTGATACAGGGCTGGATCACGGATTTGGGAGCAGGAAGAAGCAGAGTAAGATAAGGGCATAAGACCTCCTGTGTAGTGGCATGGGGTTGCCCACTGAATCACAGTCCAACCAGTATGTTTTCATATATGTGGTATTTAAGCACCACAGAAAGAAGTCCTACCTTAGAAAAAGCATGTCATCTGAAAACAGGCCATTAATGACACCACTTTCTTTCTCAAGTGCCAGCATACTGATATGAAGTTTCCTCGAGTTCAGAAAATCTAGTATTAGTTTAATTATTTCAGCTTCTTTAACATTCACTGTTTCTTCAGCTGTCATGATGGCAGCCTAAATGGAAAAAGAAGAGAGAAGTTTAGCTATGATCAGTATCATTGTCTGCTTGGGTAACAAATGTTTGGCTACTAAAAAAATAACATTTTATAGGACAGAATATTTTAGCATTACAAAAACGACAGAGACAAGATCAGGAAACTAATTTTAAGAGATTGATTATGAAGCCACAATTAAGACCTAATAATGCACCTGCATCTGGTTTATTTCTGTCCTATGCATATATAGGGGCCCATGTAAAAAAATCTGCCAAGATATCAATCCTCCTGCAGTGTGAAAATATTGTGGCTACCAAGTCTGCAACATGTAAAATTTTTCCTGTCTGAAATGCAGTGAAGTTCAAAGACCATAAAACCAAGCCAGTTACTATAGCTTTATATGCAAGATCTCTAGATAATGATAACAAAGCACGGCACACTAAAAATGCAGCCCCCCCCCCCCTTTTTGAAGTCGTGTATGGCAATGAAGACATAAGGAAGATGTCTTAATAGGACACCTATTTCTGTCTGTATGCTTTATGAAGAATCTGAAGCTGCAAACCCAAGGTGGCCTAAGCCAGTTTGGCAGCTCAGTCCCATTCACCCACCTGTCCATTCCTGGCCCTCCCTTAGCACTCCTCACTTTTTTCATGGTTTAGCTTTTCCACCGATTCATGTGCTGAAGTGGCTCAAGGGTCTAGTGAGCTCTCCAGCCAGCAGAAAGTAAAAGCGGGAAGATGCAGCTGGGGCAGTGACAGGCCAAGGCCCTGGCTGCAAGCAGTCAACTTGTTTAAAGCTCCCAGGATACAACATCCAAGCTCCTTTGCAACACAATTCCTTCAAGGACACAAAAGCTGTAGCACATACTTCTCTTAAAAAACCTAAAATAAACTCTGCTTCTGGCTAAATCTTGCGTGGCCCCTTAGGTCTGACTTAAAGAAGCAGCTGTCGTCCTACTTTTTTTTTTTTTTTTAACCTTAAAAAGACTTCACAGCTGTAGCTCCCAAGTTGGACTGCTGAAAACTATCTGGGGATGTGGGCAGAAGCCCTGTAACACAGCCAGGCTGCTGCCTCATTGGGAGGTCTTCAAAAAAAGTTAGTGGCTAGTGCCATCTCACTTCAGGAGAAATATTCCATTCAGAGGCATGTTACTGCAGAAAGGGATGGTGCCTCTTCTCACCTCCACGCTCAGCCATGCATCCCCCGTCACCTATGGCATCGGCAATGGAGCTGTATGGATAGCCAGGTGACTCCTGCCATTGAGGCATAAGTTAAACGTTTGTTCACCCCGCGGACAGAAGGGCACCAGTGTTGACACAAGGAACCGACAGAGCTTTGCTTTCTGGCAGCAGCACTCTCAACCCAACTCAAATCGATTACGAGTGCACCAAAGAACAGCAAAGTGGCCACTGATACCCCCAGGAACAAGGGGAGACAACAGAACAACAGTGATCAGAAAAATGAATAAAGGCAGGTGACCACACAGAGCAAAACACCTGTAGCAACATGTTATAGTCACCCTAGCTGCTCCTCCTTTCAATTCAAAATGGGAAATGGGAATAGTACTCAATTCCCTCACGCAACCATTTACTTTTGTGGAAAGGTAGCAACTGCAGTGCCGGAAGACAACCGGCTGTGCATAACACCGATCCCAGGACAAGCTGAAGAGCTGATGCAGCCTACAGGTACCCTGCCCTTGGAATACTGGAGTCCATAAGCGAGTTACCTATCTCGAAATAGGAAAGATGCACAGAAACTGGTAACAAGAAATCACAGAACAGATACACCGAGTTTGAATAATCCTAGTAAGACAAAGTATCAACAAGAAATTAACAAAGAAGAAGGGAGGAGACAAACACTCCAGGGAAACTCCACGCTGTTCATCATAAACCAATGTTAACGAACTTGAAGGGACACGAAAAGTTAAGCATTAATAAGAGAGGGGTTTGTACTAAGTCATCCAAATCCCCAAGTTCTCCATCCTCCTCACAGTCTATGCCAACTTTTTTCAAGTAAATTTTTGCCAGAATGTTTGACTAGGAAAGCATTCAACTAATAGCAGCACAGTTTATTTTGGAACAACAGAGACCTAATTGTGCCAGATGAAATGGCCTAACTTCTTTTTAAAGATGGCTGGATTTAGTTCTCATTTCAGTCAAAGAAGAGTCACCAATGAAAGACACATCCAGAGACCACACGCCCACCCTCAGCTAGTCAAGTCAGAGGCAAAAATTAAAATCTAGCTTGCAGAAAGCTTTCCTGCAGGAAAAAAAAGCAGAGAGACACAAAAATTCCAAGCCAGAACTTTTAGAAAGATGATTTTTCCTTACGTACTAGGACTGTTTCAACTTCCCCTTTTGGCAACTGGATATGGAATTCTAGTCCCAGAGAAAAATTCAACCCTACCCTTGTACACAGCAGGAAAAAAAATCAACACAAATCTAACCAGCAGTTTAGAACCAACATTGTAATTCCAAACCTCACCTAATGCATTTGCATTTCTCTTCTATTATGCTTTATGGCACTTGTGGTTTCAACGCAAATTAAATTACTTCTTTGCCAAAAGACAAAGTAAAATTTAGCAAAGCTATATTGAGACTCCTCATCAGAAAAATGCTAGAAAAATTCAAACTAAGGCTCCCTTTGAAGAAAGGAACACCAAGTCCAGCTTTCTTTCCAATGGGATCTACTGGACTCAAGTCTAAGCAGGAAAAGACCCTACATTAGCTTCAAGATGATTTTTAAGTTAATTATATATTACACTGATGGAAAAAATGAGCATAAACCTCAGTAATTTGCTTAAGAGTACAACTAAATTAAGTAAAATCAAGCATCTGCAAGAAGCAGCTGTCCTCCATTTCCCATTGTACTTTTAAAAGAACAGGTTTGCCCTGAACATAAAGACTGCAATTCTAACACTTCATTTACTTTATTAATATGGCTCATATAAATTAGGATAACAGACGATCAGCACCCTCTCCACATTTGATGCAGGACAAGTAACAGCACTTTTGGGGTCCTGCTAAGAAAAATGTATTTATTATATATTATATACTTCTGAAGAAATTTTGTAGTACACTGATAAGCTCATACATTAAAAATATTAAAAAAATATTTAGTGTGCATTTGCTGTCAGAGCAACATTCCCATTGGATAAATCACTAGAAAAGAACAGTAAATCTACTAGAGAAGATTTTCACTTAATTGACTTTTTTTTTTCCCAAGCTGATGAGCTCAGACTCCTCTTATAAGCATTATGCTGTCAAAATAATAAGCAGCACTGCAACACCATTATGTCAGGCTTACGTATCACCCCTAGGAAATGTATCACCTTTTCTGACATTCAGTGGCGTGTGTGTAGAAATAAAAATAATAATAATTAAAAAGCAAAGAACAGCAGGGAAACTCAAGATTAGAGCTCAAGCTGCATCTTTGGTCCACCCCACTATATTGTTTTCTGCCAGCACATATGGCACATAACGTCACAGTCTGATCAGCTCAAGCACTAATACTCAAGAATGATTGAAGCACAAGCATTAGCTTGAGATATAAATGAAAGTAAATGAGTATTAGAGCTTACCATTTCAGCTGCCTTCTACCAACCTGGTTTCTGCTACAACCTTTTTATCTTCCCCAGTCTTTTCAAAACAGCACTTTTACATGCCTGTCCTCCTTACTTCCTTCTCCTGTCCAGTCCCCCCTAACATCTTCCCCTAGTTCTGTATTTAAATCTGTTTTCTTCCCAATAAATCTACATCAAGGAAAAAAACAACTTCTTGCTACAAACCCGACACATCTTTTCTCTGTACCTTCAATGGACAAGATGTCCTTTAAACAAGCTCTTTGGAAGACAGACTACCAAACTCCTAAATTTTCCAGAGCTAGGTTTCACTCTTATTCTGTTCTTACTCATGTTCTAAGAACATGCCAACAGCAAGCAACCTCTCATGGTGCTATAAGCATAGAAAACAATTCTTGAAAAAAAAAAAAAATGTATACACACACACACTTATGCATATAAATATACTATTTTAGGAAAATGTTTATAGACTAGGAATTAATTTCAAATACTCTCTCTTTAAGCTACCTCCCTTAGAAGAAACTTAAAATGCATATGCATTCACATGATAGTTAAAGTAAGGTTTAATATACTGGAAAAAAAGTAAATAGTAAAATAAGCATTATCCCTATGTTATTGATCATCTGAAATACATCACTCATACACAATACGAATTCACAAAACTGGGCAAGGAAGATAAAATCTCTAACTACTTAGAAATACAATAAAGAAATATTATAGTTCAAATCTTAAGTGTCATACTGAGAGTGGTGAGACGTTTAAAGGGAGAAGCAATGCCTAATTAGAAGTCTTGGTTTGCTGACTTCAGTGACAGCTGCAATGCACATCCATCACCTCAGAACCTGGTGCGCTACGTCAGAGAAGACCCGAACGTGAGGAAGCAATACATATTTTAAAAGCTGACTGTTTTGCACACAGTTATTTCACCTTTTAGTCCATCCCGCAGTCACTTACATATGACTCTCGGGCCTGCCCAGAGGCCACTCCGGAGTTCCGCCTACACAGACCCCACAGGGGACTCTGGGCCTGGTCAGTACCTAGTGGCTCCATTTCTGATGTGCCCTCAATCATCTTCCAGTTATTCTATATCAAAAGAATTTACAAAAAAAAAAAAAGTCCATAGACCAAATTTTTTATTGCAATTGATACCCACAACAGTTAGCGCAACTCGCTGACGCCCATTTTACCCTAAAAGAATTCATTATTTCAATTCGTTATTTCAAATGAACTATACTGAACATATGAAGGCCTCAACAGAACACCTTCACCAGACTTTGTACAGCTGAACTCTGAGATTCTACTGCAATGTAGAGCATGGACGTACCAGCCTTTTCTTCCTCACACACGTTTTTCACCGGCTTGCCCTCTGTAATCCCTCTGGTTTACCCTGCTCGGTTCAGCTGCTGCTGTAGAGCCGCCGCAGTAGCCCT